TCTCTCTCCTTTATGTCTCGTTAGGTCAACTTTAGTGGGACATACGGCAAGCATGCAAGCGAAGCTTTGCTACACGGATTTAGAGAGAAAAATTTAAATCATTGATTTTTCAGCTTCCAATGAATTTATCATCCTATCTTTCTTCAGTTAAAGTTAACAGATAGATCTTAACGATGGGTGGGAAATTTTCTAAAACTTTTTGCGTGGGAAACTTAATTACGCCAAACCTTGGGTGGGAAATTGTCGTTTTCTCATTACTGATATAACAAAAATTTCTTTACTGTTAACCATTAGTGAGTTATTGAAATTTATATTGTTATACTAAACAAATATCACCAAATTGCTCTCCTATAATTTATTTTAATACCTTAAACTTAATAGCAGGGGATTTTATTATTTTTGAAACCTTACATGGTTTTTTGTTATTTTATCATACGGATATTGTCAATTTGAGGACACTGTTTCTTGAATTTGAAAGAAAAAAGACAGAAGTTTTAGAATAGCCTAAAAAGGGACAAAATACTTTAAAAGGAATGAATTTAACATTTGAAAGGGGTAAAAATGACATTTATCAAGTTTATAATATTTGATAATTTCATGTAGTTTTAAAATTTGTATAATTAGAAAAATGAATTTATATTAAAATTATATTAATTTATTATTTTTATAATAACTATATAATAAAAAAGAGTAGGTGGCTCGCAGCCAAGGCTAGTGTCATTGGCCATGTTGTGGCTTGGCTTGGCCTGAGCGGAGCCAGGCCAAGTTGCAACCTTTGCTAGTCACTGAACTAGCCACTCATAGCTAGCCTAGCCAAGCCAAGTTGCCACCCTTTGCTAGTCATTGAACTGACCCCACATTTTAAAACCCTATTGCAATTGGTTGGTTGGGCAGGGGGGTGGGGGATGGGTGGTAGTTGGGGTGTTGGACAATAACTAGAAATAAATACAAGCATTCAATTTCAATAAATTAAATGAGATAAGGGAAGAGAGATGCTCAAAGAATTTATAGTGGTTCCGAGTTTTGATCAAGAGCCTCCTATATCCACTTCTTCAAGGCAATATCCTTGAAGTTTCACTAGAATCAAAATTTGCCAATACAATAGTTTTAATAAGATTTTGCCTCTAGATGTGTATAAAAGGTTTGTTGTAAAGTTTGCCTCTAGGCTAGGCTAATACACACAATGAGTTACAAATTTGTCTCTAAAAATGTAAAGGATGAGTTTAAAGAGAGAGTAAAAATGATGTTCAAGATTTTTGATCTTTTTGCTTGCAAGATTGATTGAATGTTGTTTGCACTATTCCCTTATACTTTTTCTTTCAAAAATCTTGTCCTAATATATCTTGAACCTATGAGAAGTCAAATACAACAATTTAACCATTTTCTAGAAAATCTAAGGAGATCTACAAACTTTTGCAAAAGTCGACTACTATTGCAGAACATAGAGGAACAAGCGTTCCAATATCCCGAACGATCGTTCTTGACTCCAACAGTGATATTTTTTTGAAATCTAGATTTGATACTGGTCGTTTCTCTTCTGGCAACAAGCTTCATTTCATTTGAACAGGTGTTCCTATATCATGAACGATCGTTCCTTCTTGAATCACTTAATATCCAAAAATTTCAGAGAAGTGAACGACTTGTTGGAATAATATTTTTCCTTCTTGGAATGGCTTGATCATACATGGAAACGAGCATTCTTCCATTGCGAACATGTGTTCACATATGACATTTCAATATTCAAAAAACTTGACTTGGGCTCGAGCATTCGGTCGTTCCTATGAGCGGTCGTTTTGCTTAAGATCTTAAAATGTGTCAAAATTCTAGAGACGTGAACAACCTAGTGCAACGGTCACGTTCCTGATGGAATAGCTAGGAGAACGATCGTTCGTTATGATGGAACGGTCGTTTCGCTTCAGTTCTTCAAGATGTATCACCCTTTCAATATTGACTTCAAATATTCACAAAACAACTTGGTGGAACGGGAGTTCGTGTTGGAACGACTTGACTGAAAGTTGTCAATTTGGGCAGAGCCATGAGCAACTTAAGGGAACGAGGTCGCTCAAGTGAAACGGTCTCAATATGAAGTGGAATGGGCGTTCCTTTAACACGAATGGTCGTTCTTACCTTGGAAATCTGCATGTTCATTTTATGGTTATGACTTGTGTAATACCTTTGCAATTTGTTAGTTCTTCAAACACACTTTTGATTAATTTTGGCATATCAAAACACATAAGGGTTCAACACACATGGCCAGATCGGTGGCTAACATGGCTTGGCATGGCGACCAATTGTTGGGATATTGTGGCTCGATCGTTTTCCTATTTATTCCCATGTAAAATTGTGTGTCTTTAGGAAAACTCTTTAATAAAGAATACAATTCTAAATATGAATAGAATTATAAGAGTCCAATTAGGAATTGAAATATGAATCCTAGTACAAATAGAATATCCCATATACTACCTATAAATATAAGGGTGAGAACCAATTCAAGATTATGAGAGAATGTGAGAATACAAGGTATTTGTATTAAACACCATGGGGAGAGTGTCTCAGAAACTAGGATTATTTTCACTCTAGGTATTGGGTTGAGCGTGGTTAGAAACTAAGATGTTTCCACTCTATTTTATGTATCGGGTTTATGGTGTTGTGTACTCTTGTATATCGTGTTTAGGAAACTGTAGTGGATTTCTCTCATCCGTGGATGTATGTAGGTTATGCCGAACCACGTAAATATCGTGTCTCTTTGTGTGGTGTGATTTTGTTCATATGTTATTTATCTCGAATATAGGTTTTCCGCTACGCGTTCTCCTAACAAGTGGTATTAGAGCTCCAAGTTGCGACCGGGGAGATGAGTTCTTTCGAGATGGTGGATGCACATAAGAGACGGATGACAACAGGTTTAAGTTGTAGGTGGAGTGGTTCTCTAATCTTGGCGGCAAAATTCAACATGGTTATTATGCGATTTGGATGCTAGCAAAATTCAACATGGTTAACCTGAATGTTGTAATGATGAAGAATCTTCATCATGTTCATCGTTCTGATGGAAAACTCGCCAAGGTGGAGATTGTTGGGATATTGTGGCTCATTTTCCTATTTGTTCCCATGTAAAATTGTATGTCTTTAGGAAAACTCTTTAGTAAAGAATACAATTCTAAATAGGAATAGAATTATGAGAGTCTAATTAGGAATTGAAATATGAATCATATTAGGAATAAAATATCCTACACTACCTATAAATATAGGGGTGAGAACCAATTCAAGGTTCTGAGAGAATAAGACGAGAACACAGGGTATTTGATGTAAGTGTTATTAAACACCATGGCGAGAGTGTCTAAGAAACTGGGATCATTTCCACTCTAGGTACTGGGTTGAGCGTGGTTAGAAACTAGGATGTTTCCACTCTATTTTATGTACCGAGTTTATGGTGTTGTGTACTTTTATATATTGTATTCATGAAACTATAGTGGATTTCTCTCATTCGTGGATGTAGGCAGGTTATGCCGAACTACGTAAATATCGTGTCTCTTTGTGTGATGTGATTTTATTCTTATGTTATTTATCTCGAATGTATGTTCTCCGTTGCACAGTCTCCTAACACCAATATGGTTACATTGGCAACCGATCTAGCTATACATGGCTAGCTTGTCGGCTAGCAGAAGGCAACGGCCTAACTTGGCATTAATCCGATGGAATCTCTAACTCGATCTCATCTCTATGTTGTTTGATGATCTCAACTTGCTCATTCACCCATTTACAAGTGTAGTGTTTTCTCTCTTCAATAGTAATACCAAGTAACATATTCTTTTTAGTTTCATCGCCATATTATGATTCTAATAATTAGTTTCCAACTTCATTCCCGTAACCCTTATTTTACCATATGATCAACCTGTTTGACAATATACTTATACAAAGAAAGGTGATGAAATCAGGGAAAGAGCCAAAAAAAATTTATTTTGGGAGCCACATGTAAATGTTCAATGAATGACGGGTCGAAGAAACTATCAAGAAGTTACATCTATGGGCGCCAAAGTGCTAAATTCAAAAACTGATCATTAGGAGCAAAAAAGAAAACTAATTTATGGGACTAAATTGATAGTTTTCTTTATAAGTTATAAAAAGATTTTATAGGGCTCTGGGTACCCTTAAAGTAACTCCACCCCTAAATTAAATGTCTATCCAAAAAAACAATATTAATAAATTTTTTTCTAAGTTGTATACTTGAATTCTCGACAAGAGCTTTGATATAGTTGTTCGAACCGTTCACAAGGAATAAGATTAATCCTTTTTGTGTAATACAATGACAATCATTAAGGTATGATGAAAACTTTTAGCAATGAAATCTTCATCAGAATACAAAAGCAAGTGGTAAAGCACACCATGAATACAAATTCTTCATAACATATATGCCAATTGCCAAGAGTGTGGGACAACAATACAAATGGCATTTGCATGGTCATGAAATCGAGCTAATATGTTAATTGTTTAAATTTTAGTTTACCTGATATTTTTGGTCTCCCTGTTTACATTTCTACTATTAGATTAATATGTGCTAGGCAGACCTAGAGTGAAATTGTCTGATACAGTAATTAGCATGTGATTTTGAGGATTTACAAATATTGTTTTGATGATCTTAAAATGGTTTTATAAACTTATAATCAATTAATACTTTTCAATAACAAGCGATCTCAAAGAGTGTAAATGAAATAAAAACCGTTCAACATGTCAAACTAAACTTGGTAATAGCGATCATGATAATTCTAAATCTTCCACAAGTCATTCAAAGCCACTATAATACAAATCTAATTTCCCTCTAGATAGAACCGAATTTCTTACACTGCAGCATGCGCAAAAAAGAAACCATGCAGAACTCCATCTGTTTAATAAAGATAAAAGAGTAAGAAAACCAATAGAAGAATTCTCATATTATTGATATCTATCATATTCAAGTTTCTCTGACAACTCACAATGATGGACAACTTGTTTTTCGAAAAAGTTACCTTATGGAAGAGCAGATCAAGCTGGTTTTGTATATTTTCCTCCCAATTCTCTTCTAACCAACTTCAGAGTCTCAATAATCTGTAGGAAGCAAGCCATCATAAGAAACATGATTAAAAAAAGAAAAAAATTAGTGTTCGAACCTGAACAGTAAGTATTAATACATCATGTAAGTTGTTCTCCCACCGATAGCTACATAAAGTGACTTAAAAAGTCTAATATAATGGGAAACTACATAGGAAGCATATCAACTTCATTCCATGCAAACTATGAATTATTCAGAGTGCAAATAGAAGAATTCATTTTATCTTCTAGGTTTTTTTTTTTTTTTTTGCAAAAAAAAAATAGACAATGTTAAGGATAAAATATTCAAGTATCACTCGTCACACGAGTAATGATTTTTATAATTGGAGAACTTGCCAACTAAAATGCAAGCTACTGTACATTACCAATAGAAAACGCAGCCATGCGCATAAATTGTGCGCATATATTTCAAAACATGAAAGTAGCATAAATGATGGAAACGAAAAGCAACTTACCCCAGGATAATGTTGCAATACTGGAGAATAATGATCAAGTGCTATGTATATTTTCTCAAGAAGGCTCGAAAGAGCATCCACCTTATCCCCCAGAAGATCAACCTGAACTCCAAAGAGAGAATTCAGTGAGACAGATAGTACAATATAAGGTCATCTCAAGACATATTTGCAAGACAAAAAAATGAATGCAAGTATCTTTTCTCAATGGTCTTCACTAGGCATCTCGAATGAAGTTTCTACTTGAATCTATTTACATTTTACTAGTTCCACAAACTTTCATGTACTGTTTAAATCTTAATAACTTCTGTAAACCAGAGATATAATCAGCAATTTTGAAGTTCTTGTTGCTATTTGAAAGACAATGATACGAAAATGAGGAAAGAACAACAGAATAACAGAGGCAGCAAACAGCTACTGCATTTTTTTGATACCAAATGCCAACATGATGCAGCGCATAGCCCTTCATTCTTTGACATCTATAAGTACACACTACGCTTTTACATCAGCACCACTTTTATCAACTAAGTTTTATAATTTTTATATTTAATCTATCATCTATTAAGGTATTGGGATGACCTTAATAGACACAGGAAGAACCTACAGTCTTCCACAATTTAAACCAACTCATCTTTCTTTTTCTAAATTTATTTCAACCAAATTTGAGAAGCCCCCAACTAAAAGATAAAGAGAAAAATCAAATAAGAAAACAGAGAACTGAGAGAAGGTTGCAGAAAATTTCTATACAACTCATAAACTGCAAAGTTAGTAATTTTAGAAAAATGTTATCTTTACAAAGACTCATACAAAGAAGGATATAAAGTGACATCATCAAGAAGAAAAAAAGAAAGAAAAAACGGAAAAAGAGAGAGAGAGAAATTATAAAAATCAAGTGTAGGGATTGTCTTTGTATACCCATTTATACGAGTCTTTATAAAACTAGCATTGCTCATGATTTTAATAGGGAGATGACAATTTCCCACGCAAGGTCTGGCGTAAGTTTGTTTGCCCACCCAAAAACGTTTAAAAAAAAAAAAAAAAAATTCCCACCCATCATTAACATCCATTAGTGAAATCTGTTAAATGACACCTATAAAAACAAAAATACCCTCTACTATTTGAATCCAAACCCAAACCCAAACCCTACTCCATCATGAATTTCTTCAAATCTAGCTTCTCTCCCTCTTTTTTCCACCACTGGCTCCACCTCCAACCTCACTTCCTCTCCCCAATTCCCACACCGGCTTCCTCCATTTCCTCTCCCCAATTCCCACACCCGCTTCCTCCATTTCCTCTCCCCAATTCCCACACCCACTTCCTCCATTTCCTCGCCCCCATCCCCACATCCACTTCCTCCATGTTCGCTCTCCCACTGGTCAAAGCCGTCAATGGCCTTGCAAGGTTGCGATTGTGGCCTTTTAAAGCCACTATTGTGGCCACGATGGTGACCTTATGAGGCCATTGTTGTGGCCATGATGATTGCTAAGCAGGGCCATCATTACCAGTCCCTATAGCCCCAGCCCACCGGCCTCCATATTACTACTAGATGAACAAAACCCAGATCCCAACACTCTTCCCAAACCCCAACCTAGCAATGGCGGTGGTTGTGATGGTCAAGCTTCCAAACGAGGCCCGATCTGGTCTAAATCGCAGCCAACTAGGCGAACGAGCAAGCTGAGGCCATGACAATATTATGGGATTGAAACCCATACACCACCGTAGTGTGGTGGCTCACCGGTAGTCTAGATTAACGACGAAAAACCCCGAATCAACGGCCAAGCCGTGAGTTGTTTTGCCCAAAAACACAAGCCAAACTTCAATTTTTCTCAACCCAATCAATCAGAAACAATCATCAAACATTAAAGAATCAAACAGTCTAAAATCAAATTAAAAAAAAAAAAACTTTGTTAATTTTACACCTCCTCCAACACTGATCGCTTAAATTATCAATAATTGTGTTGGTGGTGGTGGAGGAGGAGGCGTTGGAGGTGGTTCAGGTAAAGGTGAAGGTGAAGGCTTTGGAGTTGGGGGCGATGTTGGTGGCGGGACTGGAGGTGGTATTGGCAGGAAGAGGAGAAGGTGGAGTTGGTGGTGGTGTGGTTCTGGCCCGCGGAGGAGGTAATCTTTGTAATCTGTTGGTTATATATGTGATAATACGAATATAACCATTATTCTATGATTATTTGATGTTTTTATTTATGTTACCATTTACAAGAATAATCATTTACTATTTTATTCTTATACGCAAAACTTTTGGACGACATTGTCCTTGTATTAAAAACAATTTACCAGAAGGCTAGACCTGGCCACCATTGTCTTATTGTGATCGTTTTTTACTAGATCCAACAATGGTTAGATCTATCTGACCGATTTTTGGCTGTCAACAACTATATCTCCAATCGCAGATTTGACCATTTCTAGTCAAATCGATGAATGATTGGGAAGATTCGGCCATTCGTGCACCATTATGGTGACTATTGGCTGTCAACCAACGATGGTAGCCAACGACTGGCAATCCTTTTGGGTGATTGGGATGTTTTTTTGTTCATTTTTAAACTTTTAGGATAAGGGTGTTTAGCTAAATTCTCAAATGTAGGGGGTTAATAAAACAATCTAAATAATAATACTATAATAATATTAAAAAAGAAAAGTAATTTAGTAACTATATAACATACCTACTAATTTATTCTAATCAAATCAAACATATTTTATATAACAATTTTAGTAATTTTTAAAGTAATTTATATTTCTATGAATATAATATTTTTAATAATACAATATTCCTTGACACAGGGAGAAGTAACCTCCAGTCTTCCACAATTTAAACCAACTCATCTTTCTTTTTCTAAATTGATTTCAACCAAAATTGAGAAGCCCCCAACTGAAAGAAAACAGAGAACTGAGAGAAGGCTGCAGAAAATTTCTATGCAACTGGTAAACACCAAAGTTAGTAATTTGTAGTATTCAATCAGACAATATTTAGTTTTAACTTTTTCTGGGTGAATCATTGCTGAGAAGTATATACAATTTAGGTAATATAACACATAATCAGTATCCCAAAACTGGCATCTAAGCAACCATTCTACGATTTAGAATTATTACAAAATNCCTGGCCACCATTGTCTTATTGTGATCGTTTTTTACTAGATCCAACAATGGTTAGATCTATCTGACCGATTTTTGGCTGTCAACAACTATATCTCCAATCGCAGATTTGACCATTTCTAGTCAAATCGATGAATGATTGGGAAGATTCGGCCATTCGTGCACCATTATGGTGACTATTGGCTGTCAACCAACGATGGTAGCCAACGACTGGCAATCCTTTTGGGTGATTGGGATGTTTTTTTGTTCATTTTTAAACTTTTAGGATAAGGGTGTTTAGCTAAATTCTCAAATGTAGGGGGTTAATAAAACAATCTAAATAATAATACTATAATAATATTAAAAAAGAAAAGTAATTTAGTAACTATATAACATACCTACTAATTTATTCTAATCAAATCAAACATATTTTATATAACAATTTTAGTAATTTTTAAAGTAATTTATATTTCTATGAATATAATATTTTTAATAATACAATATTCCTTGACACAGGGAGAAGTAACCTCCAGTCTTCCACAATTTAAACCAACTCATCTTTCTTTTTCTAAATTGATTTCAACCAAAATTGAGAAGCCCCCAACTGAAAGAAAACAGAGAACTGAGAGAAGGCTGCAGAAAATTTCTATGCAACTGGTAAACACCAAAGTTAGTAATTTGTAGTATTCAATCAGACAATATTTAGTTTTAACTTTTTCTGGGTGAATCATTGCTGAGAAGTATATACAATTTAGGTAATATAACACATAATCAGTATCCCAACACTGGCATCCAAGCAACCATTTTATGATTTAGAATTATTACAAAATAAATACACTGATTTAGACAACCTGAATTCTCAACTGTGAGTGATTGCACATAGCCCTTTCTTAACTAATGGAAGTACACACAAATTCAGTCTCCAATATTTTCAAGCCCTCATTCCTAGGGATGTATTCGAGCCGAGCCGAGTATCTCGGTATTCGAGCTCGGCTCGTGATGAACAGTAGCAAACTCGAGCTCAATCGAGCTTTAATATTCCTGTTCGAGCTCGAGCTCGCGAGTCTGAAGTGGTACTCGAGCTTGCTCAAACGAGCTCGAGCCTAACCGAGCTCAATAATTTATTGTATTTTCTCTTTCTTCCCACATTTTCTCTTTCTTCTTTTCGCCTATCAATATCATCTCATTTTTTTTGCTCTTTCTTCTTTTCACCTATTACCTCATTTTGTCACCTCAACTTTTTTTTTTCTCTCTTTCTTCCCGTCTCTTCTCTTCTCTTTTCTTACTTTTTAGATCTTCTCCTTCGTCTGTTTTTTTTTTTCTTTCTCCCCATTCTTTTCTCTTTCTTCTTTACTTCTTCTATATTCTCTTCTCTATTCTCACCTCCTCTTCTCTTTCTTCTTTTGCTCCTTCAGATTTTCTCCTTCATTAATTTTCTTTCACATTCTAAGCTCGAATGGAACCGAGGATTAATGAAGGTGAAAGAGATGAGTTTTTGTTTGAGCTTTGAAATGGGTTTTGAGTTTTTATCTGTGAATGGGTCATGGGTGTTGTTTGTAATTTTGACAACTTAAAAATAAAACTTTTGAAATCTTGCAAATTGCCCCCTAAGCTCGTTTAAGCTCGCGAGCCTGACGAGTCGAGCTCTGCCAGGATCGAACTCGGCTCATCACTATTCACAAGCTGCTCGAGCTCGAGATCGAGTCAACTGATTTCGAGTCGAGCTCGAGCTTAGGACGAGCCGAGCTTGTGTAGCTCGCAAGCTACCCGGCTCGTCTACTCATACCAATTAGCAACAAATACGGCTCTATGCCTTGTACAACAAAATATGAATTAAAAGAACACAAACTCAAATTAAAAAAATCAATGTGCACTACTTCTGACAAATGTAAACTTTTCATCATACCTCAGCTTCAGCCTTTTGAAGGTCAGAACTCCTCCTTTCAAGCCTCTGTTTGTACATCAACTCCGTGCCTTTGATTACTTTAGCTTTCCGAATAAGAGCTCTCAATTGAGAACTCAAATTGTCCAATCTAAAAGAAATGCCATATGCATATCAATACACTAATTCACAATTCATCTAAACTCAATGAGTGCTTATAAATGGAATGACAACTGAAGCCTGAAGATTAGAAGAGAATCAAATTCAATTATAGCCATACTCAACAGTACAAAAATTTCAGACAGAATACAAAATTTACTCTTTCTTATTGAAGCAAAACGTCTCTGACCAGTAACCCATTTTTTTCTTAGACTAAAAGCATCAACATCATCAGTCATTTAGTAAGTCATAAATAGATGCATATGTGATTTATGCATACCTATAAGACCAAACCAAACATCTACAATCGGGAAAACCATGCAAAAAACAGAATCAGCCAAGGCCATAATTTTAGTTGATAGCTCCATACAGATTATAAATACAAAAAAGTAAAAGACAAATATAACTATGTACCTCATATTATTTTTTGTAATATCTTCCATTACTCTGCATTCAAAATCAGCAATACTCGTGTATAAACACTGAACAAGAATGGTCAAGGATTGTATTTGCCGCTTATGCTTCCTTTCTTTCTCTTGACTAACAGATACAAGCATCCTAATTTCTTCATCAATTTCTCCAATCTCATTCATTTTCAGTGTAAATTTGTCCCTTAGGTCACGCAACTCCAACTTGTGTCCTTCAATCATTTCCAATGCTATGCTCAATTCACGTTTCATGGCATCAGATTCTTTACTTCTTTCAGAAATTAACATTTCTTGTCGACTTGTCTCATTTCTTAAATTTTTCAGCTCTNTATATAATAGTTAAAGTAGGTCAAGTTGAACTACCTAGTCTTTATAGACTCTTATTCATCTTTTGGCTCTAGAAGGTTTGAAATCCTTGGCTGCTTGAGAATTCTTCAACTGGTTTTGCTTTCACAATTTAACTCCAAGAACTTTCTTGTCAACTACTCATCTAATATATGTATATATATATATATATATATTTTTCGAGTAACGAGATTTTCTAACAACAAAATAGGCTTTATTCAGCGCCATTTTTAAGGTGTACATTTACCGAACTTGATCAATTCAATCATATTATTTTGACACACATAATTTTTTTAAGTTATTATTAATGGTTGAGAGAGTCCTAGAATCAATGCAAGAAAGTCGCAAAACTTTCTAAGGAACTAAACAAAAAATATAACAGAGAAGAATATCTTTCAAGAACTTGATTAATTCCAAAATGGTTTTTCAATACAACTTGTAAAAGAGTAAAGTCTTTTATACTTATACAAGTGCCACATTGGCAATCTTTGTTAAAAAAGAAAAATTAGATCACAATTGTTGATTAGAAACACAGCCTTGCAAGAACCTTTGTAGTTGTAGTTCTGTTGATTGTTACAACATCCTCTAGCAGAACAACTTAGAACTTAGTGCTTCTAGAATCTCAATATTGAACTTAGAATATCAATGCTGCTATGCTGACTTGTGAATCCAAACTTGTTAATTCAAAACCACATCGTCCCTCAAGCTGAGCAATTAGATCTTGCTGCAAAAGCTTGCTAATACACAATATCATAGTAGGATAACTGCACGAATAACAATCGTCCACACTTTGTATTGTCAGTGCTCACCTTTTTCAAAAAATTCAACAATTGGCAGAAGATCAGACTGTTCACTTTGAGAAATAGAGTTAGATTTCACATCCTCCTTGAAACTGACAAGGGAACTCAGTTGAAGTTTATTACCCAACATTTGAAACCTTATGATGGGCAAAGGTTTGGTAAGTATATCAAATACTTGAAACTCAGAAGCAGTATACTGAACAACCAATCACTTGGAAATCACTAAGTCTTGAACATAATGCACATCCATTTTGATGTGTTTAGTTCGAGCACGAAAAATAGGATTAGCAACTAGTGCACCTGCACTTTTGTTATCACACCACAAAACAGATTGAGTAGAAATAGAAACCTGTAACTCTTGAAGTAATTGTTGAATCCAAACAAGCTCTGTAGAGGCTTGAGTAATTGTATATATTTTGCCTCTATAGAAATTAAGGCCACAACCTTTTATTTTCAAGAAGTCCAACTAATTAGATTACCAAAAGGACAAATACAGAAGCCAGTAGTAGACTTTCTATCATTGAGATCATTAGCCCAATCGGCATCTGCAAAACCTTCTAGCACAAAGGTTGTAGAAGGTTGAAACTTAAAACCAACATCAAGAGTACCCTTGATATATATTAGCACCCTTTTACAATCAACCCAATGTGCAACTGATAGACCTTAAAGAAATTGACTTAGTATATTCACAACAAAAGACAATCTGGTCGAGTCATAGTCAGATATTAAAGACTTCCAATGACACTTTTGTATGAAGTTGGATTGTCAAATAAAGCACTACCATCTTTAACCAATTTAGTATTGGCAGCTATAGGTGTTGAGATAGTATTTGCATCAAACATTCTAAACTTTTTGAGAAAATTAGTAGCACACTTAGATTGAGTTAATAAAATGCTAGTAATGGTTCTTATTACCTCAAACCCAAGGAAATGGCTTAGTTCACCTAAATCTTCAAAAGCAAAAGTTTGATTTAACTCTTGAACTAACTATTGAATGTAAGAGAAATCATTACTTGTAAGCAATATATCATCAACGTAGACCAATAGGTAAACAACTTTTGTAGAAGAATAATAAATGAACAAGCTACTATCAGAAGAAGAATTTTGAAATTTTTTATCCGATAGAGCTCTTTTTAGTTTTTCAAACTAGGCTCGAGGAGCCTTCTTAAGACCATATAAAGCTTTGTTCAATTTACACACATGGGCAAGTTTGATGGAGTTAATGAATCCAATAGGTTGTGTCATGTAAACCACTTCTGTAAGTTCTCCATTCAGTAAGGCATTATTGATATCCACTTGCTTAATCTTCCAGTTGTATGGGACATTTAAAGTCAAGATGATTTTGATAGTACAAGGCTTGACTATACAAGGGAAAAGGTCTTAAAATAATTAACCCTAGAAGTTTGCTGGAACCCCTTAGCAACCAGCCTAGCCTTATACCTCTGAATACTTCCATCCATATTATATTTGATTCTGAAAACACACTTGTTATCAACCAAAGTACTATCATATGGAACCATTTCCCATGTGTCGTTTAGTTTCAAGGCATCATATTCCTTTTGCATAGCTGAAAACCATTCTAAAGAACCTAATGCCTCATGCATATTTGAAAGCTCACAGGTAGATGTGGTTGGTTTCAACAAGGATATTATTTGTGTTCCAATAGTAGTCTTTGATCTAGTAACCATAGGATGAAGGTTATGAGAAGAATTGTTGGTAATTGCAAGACTGGTTGATATTGATCCAGAAGAAGCTGAACTTCTAAGTTAATACCAGGGACTGATGCAACATCTTGTACAACTTTATAAACTCCTTGAAGTCGATCCTCAGCTGATACTATGTTACTGTCAAAGGCAACAACATCTTGATCTAAAGTATGTTTATCAGCATCTTAAAAAGATGAAATATCTTGAATCTTTGAACCAGTGGATAAGTTACATGGAATTTTCCATTTGGAAGAGTGCATAATAGAATCATTCTCCTCCCCAATATGTTTAACAACACTTCATCTAAGTCTCAAACTATCTTTCCACAAACATATGAAACTGTGTAAAAATAGTAAAGGCTTTTGACTTCTATTTTAATGGATAGATCCAAGAGTATCGACTGAAATCATCCAAGAAAACAATATAATACTTGTAACCTTCCTTTGAAACAACTGGTGAAGGACCCCATAAATCAGAAAAGACTAACTCCAATGGTTTTGTACTAACAGTCTCAGAATGAGGAAAAGGTTGCTGATGTAACTTTCCAAACTTACAAGCAGAGAAACTTTGTAGGATAGAGACAGAAGTGGCAATCCTTTTATTTGAGATTTTATTTACAACAGCCTATAACACCTTATAATGAGGATGGCCAAGCTCATATAACATACAACTGATTCTAAATTCTATCTGATGGCAATAGCAACATTTGTCAAATGAAAGTTTTTTGCTCTAGAACTTATTGGTGACAAGGAAAAAGTTTTACATCCTGATGAAACAGGAGCATTTATTCTTGGAATTGAATTGACTAAACTAGTTGTTGATAGTCTTGAAGTATTATTCTTGGAGGCAAAAGATCCCAAGGTCAACTGATACAATCCATCTCTAAGCATGCCTTGCAACATAATTGCTTGTGTCACCTTGTCCTTAATAACACACAAATCCACAAAGAATTCAACAGTAAGTTCATTGTCTTAAGTGAGTTTTGAAATCCTGATTATATTTTGTTGTGTTTTGAGGGACCACTAAAACCTAGGTTATTCACAACTTTTGTGAAGATAACAAAGTAGAAAAATAAATGTCACCAACATGAGATAGGCACTGACCACTTCCAACTTGTAGTTTTTTCAGCTCCACATAAGGATTACCATTGTCAAGTGTTTGAACAGTTGAGCTAATGTGACTGTTGGCTCTAAAGTCAAGATACCATTGAGGGTCTGCTACTAAAATTGGTTGAGCGAAATAGGACATTAGAGCTATAAACTAATGAGCTTGCTGTGATGAATTGAGCTGAGATAATTCATGTGTTGATCTGATTTCTTTGGTGTTATCTATAGAACCAAAATCCTTTTGCAAGTAATAAGCTTGATTTGCTTGTTGTGAAAAATTAGTTTGATTTGATGGCTAAACTGATTGCTGGTACTGAGGTTGTTGCTAAATTGTTTGTTGGGATTGAAGCTATTGTTGAATGGTTTGTTGGTAATGAAGCTATTGAGATTGATTTTGTGGACCATTGTAAGTCAAATCAAGTCTATGGTAGCATTGCACAACTATATGACTAGGCTTTTTACACACTTGACAGAAGATCCTAAGCTTAAAGAAATTTTTGCCATTTCCTCTTCCAAAATTTGGATCAAATCTTCTAACATCTTATGCCATCAAAGCATTATGAGAGTAAAAAGAAGAAGCTGATAGATGATCTGAGCTTTGAGTGTAGTGTTGAACTGGAAAAGTATTGGTTGTACCTAGGATTGAAAATTGGTGTTGTTGTAGGATATTGCACTAATGGTGCAGGGTATTGTATTGGTATAGGATATTTTGTTGATACTAGTGTGAAGATTGGTGTTAATGTTGAATATTGTGCTGGTGTTGGTGTTGGTGTGAGTGTAGGATATAATATTGAGTTATTGTATGAGGATTGTCCAGAATTGAAACTATGATAGGAGTGAACAAGAATTTGTCTTTGTGCTACTAAGTGATAGCTTTCCAAAGCTCAAAAAGAAAAATGAAGCACGGCTCTTGAAGAAGAGAAATGGAATTTGATTAATTGATTTAGTAATAGAATTCATGTTGTTATATACCCATCCATTACAAGAATGATGAATGAAACACAATGTTTTAAATAAAGAAAACAACATTTCAAACTTTACAAATGCATCCATGTTGACTTTTACTTTTCATTTTTACAAAACAAGCTTAGTTTAAGCTTATATTGGAGACACTCCAACAACCTTGTTCTACTTAATATCTTCCCATAAACTCTCTGGCAAGCTTCTTCTCTGCTCAATACTAAGGCAGAGTTATCGTGATAAAGACTATGTACACTATTGTACCTTTCCAATCTAATATCATGTTTATGAAGAAAAAACTGAGCTTCTTGCAATGCAAGATCATCTTCTCTAATTGACAAAAGTACTGACACTACATCATATTCAGGACCTAGTCCATCTAATATGTAAGCCACTAACTCCTCAGTACTAAAAATTACTCCACTAGCTGAAAGAGAGTTCGCATAGCTTTTCACCTTAAACCCAAATTCACTAATACTTAGGGTCTGCAATAAATTCCTCAGATGCATAGTTCTAGCTTTTGATTCAATAACAAAATGATTCTCTAGAGTTTTCTAGATTTCAAAAGAACTCGAACATTTAGCAACATATCCAAACATTGACTCAGAAATTGATGACTACAGCCAACTCATAAGAAATTGATCAATTCTTTTCCAAAAGAAATAGTCTGTAACACCCCACTTGAGGTACGTAGTTAAGATTTGTTGTATTACTTAAATGTTCATTGATCCAGTTTCAATTGAGTTTGTATGTTGTTATTTTTGGTTGGTTGGTCTTTGGTTGAAATGGTATACTGAGTTGGTTGAGTGTTTACCTTGAAATTGGTTGAGATTTGAGGAATCTTGGTATTACAATCTTCGCCGCGGCGACGTCAACTCTGTGTTGCGATGTCGGTTCTGTAATTTTTGGCCGGGGCGATGGAACATTCTTCGCCGTGGCGACGGGACGACAGAAAAGTTTCTTAAGGTTTCTAGAGAATTCTCCATAGGGGTCAAATGACCTTTCTACCCTTAATTAGCAAGAAAAGTGGGAAGTAAAATGCAAGAGAATTTTATGGAGAATATGTTAGAGTGGGGGTGTGATTGTAATGATTTAAAGGACAATGATGGAATTTCCAAGGAAAAGCAAGGGCAATATGAGAATGAATGAAGAAAGTTGAGCTAAAAAGGGGATAAGCCTCATAAACCCTTCATTCATTCTTCTTCCACCGCCATACTCTTCACCATTTCCTCTCAACTCTTCCCTCCATCTTTGAAGGATCTTTGAGGGCTTTTTGGAGTAGTTTGGGGTAGAAAATCAATCTAAGGCATCCTAAGGTAAGGATTCTTGCTTTAGATGTGAAGTTTTGTATATATTTGTACATTGAAGGCTTATGGTTTTATTATGTAAAGTTGTAGAAAAGGGACAAGCATTTTAAAGGAAAGGAAAGGGCTTTACAATGTAAGTAAATCAAACCTAAGTTAAAATTTGAGAAATCTTTTGAGTAGGGACTAAGTAGAGATTTATATATGCATGGGTATGTTATGCTATTGAGAAATTGGGTTGAGATGAGTATTTGTTTTATGGTTGTTGGTTACACTTCATTGATGAGAAGTGTTAATATGTGATGAATATGTAGTGCTGAGAGGATGTAGTTTGAAATGAAGTTGGAGGAGATTGAGTATTTCTTTGGGAATGCTCTTTTATGACAAGAATCATAGTTATGTGAGGGAGTTTCCTCCCATTTTGGATGGTTCAAGAGAGGGATAGAACCATAGATAAAGTAGAGTGTATGTATGCACACTAGATGTTTGATGAAATCCCATGAGTAGTAAACCTTAATTTTTGCAATAGTGCATGTTGGCATTTCATAAGTGTATTAGTGGAGAAGATTAATTGTGCATTGAGAAGTGGCTTGAGAAAGAGTAGAGAGCTTTGTGGATGAACTACTCTAAGAGTAGAGAGAATGAGAAAAATACTAAAAACGAGTTGGTGCTTTGTGATCTCCACCCGGTAGATAGTTAAAACGGGTTGGTGCTTTGTGATCTCCACCCGAAAGTTATGAAAAGCGGGTTGGTGCTTTGTGATCTCCACCCGAACATCACGAAGAGTGGGCTGGTGCTGTGTGATCTCCACCCGGCCGTGACATATAGCAGAAATTAAGTAAGAGAACTGTGTGAAAGAGAAAATAAATGAGATGAGAAAAAGTGTAAGGAAAGAGTTAAGAGAAAGAATTACGGGGACAGTCGAGTAGAGGATTTACTTACTAAGCATTATTTTGTGCTCACCCGGTTGTTTTCTTTGTGGTTGCAAGATCTAGGTGAGAACGCGGTCGGATGGGTGTCAGCACGCGAAGAGAAATGGTTACACTGTCCATCATGTTTTGATAATTTATGTATGTAATCCAAACTTTGTATAAAGAATGTATATGTTTAATAAAAGAAAATTTTGGACCCAACTCTTTTACTATCTTATATATGTAATTTCATTATGTATATTTTATGAATACTTGATTAGAAAGCAGATATTACATAGTCAAAGTTAGGTTTTCTCCCCAGATCTCCAGTTTCATCATTACATAGTCAAAGTTAGGTTTTCTCCCCAGATCTCCAGTTTCATCATTCTTACTTGAAACAAAAGGTTCAAGACAAGGTCACTCACCATTAATGAAGCCTTCGAGTTGAAATGATGTGAGAGCTGTTAGTACTAGAGACCTCCAGTAGTTATGATTCTTCTCTCCCAATTTTACAACAACAATAGGTAAGGAACTTAGAAAGCTAAAATTCTTCAATTGATTATCACTTCGAATCATCAATTCAAGCTCTATGGTTTTGAATTTGCTCTTAGAGTTGGAAAGATTATCAAATTCATCCATGACTTTACTAATCTATAGGCTCTAATACCATGAAAGAGTCCTAGAATCAATGCAAGAAAGTCAGCAAAACTTTCTAAGGAACCAAAAAGAAAATATAATAGAGAAGAAGAACTTGATTAATTCCAAAATGATTTTTCAATACAACTTGTAGAATAAGTAAAGTCTTTTATACTTACACAAGTGACACATTCGCAATCTTTGTAAAAAAGAAAAATTAGATCTCAACCGTTGGTTAGAAACATGTACAGCCTTGTAAGAACCTTTGTAGTTGTAGTTCTGCTGATTGCCACAACAATGGTCGATCAAAATCCTCTTTTAATCTGATATTTATAGAACAAAATATAAAATTGTGATTGATAGTTGATTAAAAAGATAAAAACAGAAAACACGACTATACAATATGTATGGAGATAAAAGTTAAAGTGAAATAATGTTAAACTCAGCATCTAGAATGCAACAATATTGAATGAAAAGAAAGCTACAATGTCAGGATCTTGTTGAAAAAATGGCATATCAATTTCATCCAAGCATATCCATGCTTCAATTCCATCACCATCCTTAGTGTCCATCAACAAAATAATTTCTTCAGGAAAAGATTGTACCCTCATCACTTTGACAAGCTTTCCCCATCCAAAATTGGGATAAAATGGTATCCTGCAAGTGCTTGTATTAACTGCTTTCCAAATAGGTGTTGCCACTAGTTTCACCCTGGGGTTACAATCCCCTTTGTCAAGCATTGATCTTAGATTTGATATGGAAAGATTATCAAAAACAAACGTTGTACATGCAATCTTTAACTCGGGACGATTTGGAAAAACATGCTTCATCTCAGGCATTGCTTCTCTTGGGGTTAAAGGAAACCCAAATATCAATGCTTGGTTTATTTTCCACTTTATCAAACCCTAATTTGCATGAAGTGCACTCCATGCATCAATGAATTTTGAGTACACAATCCATCAACTAGCAACATGTTTGGGGTGGGGTTAAAAAAATAATATACTATACAATTTTTTCTTTTCTAATATTGAATCTTTAGTATTTTTAGATGTTTTGAGATTGACATTTAAAAGTTACACATATATGTTTGGTAAATTTAGCTTTTAATTGTGGTTATATGTATAATGACCAAAATNTTTGATATGGAAAGATTATCAAAAACAAACGTTGTACATGCAATCTTTAACTCGGGACGATTTGGAAAAACATGCTTCATCTCAGGCATTGCTTCTCTTGGGGTTAAAGGAAACCCAAATATCAATGCTTGGTTTATTTTCCACTTTATCAAACCCTAATTTGCATGAAGTGCACTCCATGCATCAATGAATTTTGAGTACACAAATCCATCAACTAGCAACATGTTTGGGGTGGGGTTAAAAAAATAATATACTATACAATTTTTTCTTTTCTAATATTGAATCTTTAGTATTTTTAGATGTTTTGAGATTGACATTTAAAAGTTACACATATATGTTTGGTAAATTTAGCTTTTAATTGTGGTTATATGTATAATGACCAAAATGGTTTATGTTTTCACTTTTTTTTCAATGTTTTTAATTATAATGTCTTATTTTATTAGTTATTAAAATAATTTATAAATAACAAAATAATTTTTTTATTTTTAAATTAAAATTAAAAAATTTTGCACAGTTGTTGTTGTCGATCAGCCACCACCATCAACCAATTTCTGCCACTAACGAACGCCAAAGGTGGCACGTCTAGCAACACCTCTTGGCTTGCCAGGATCAGTGTGCGCCAATCTAAATAATCTCACGCATATCCAAACCCACCGTCGGCGGCCGACAACAATTGTTGGTAGCGGAAGCCCAACCATTGTGTTGTCCTTTTATTTTTAATTTTGCAAGAAAAAAAAAATATATTTAAACAAAATGATTCGATCAATTAATTTTAATATCATAATATAAAGACATTTTTGTCATTGTCATTTACAAAATCAACCTAAAGAAATAATCTAATTTTCAATAGCTACACTAAGTATATTTTGAAATTCTTTTATAAAACTATTTACAAAATATCTAATGGTGGCAGTGGTTTGACCAAATTAAGCTGTTTGTATGTCGTTTGTGATCCAATCAATGTCAACACTTATGCTGATGTATACATAGTTTATTATTGTTAGTTAAGCAACAAGAATGAGGGATGAGTGTTGGTTTAGGTAGTTGAAAATAAGTTCAAGGATGTTTAGTGATCCAACTATAAAATTTGACTTCACTACAGGATCTGACTCTACATAGTTGTTTGCATGAACGAGAGATCGATCAATTGAGATGTAGTAACGCAATGTGTTTAAAACTTAATTTTAGTACGGAATCATTGATGACTTGACTCATAAACGTGATAGCGCAATAAGTCTACAATTTTTCTTACAAAATAACATTTTACATGGTTACCAAAGTATTCTATATAGGAGAAACTAAAACTTAGCATTTAGAACGCAAAAATATTGACTGATCATCATTATGGTGGTCTCTCTGGGAAGTGAAGGCCATAATGTCAGGATCTTCTTGAAAAATTGGCATATCATTTTCTTCCAAGCTTATCCATGTCTCAATTCCATCACCATCTCTAGTGTCCATCAACACAATTATTTCTTCAGCAAAAGATTCTTTCCTTGTAACTCTAACAGGCTTTCCCCATCCAAAATCTGGATAAAATGGCATCCCACAAGTGCTTGTAAAGAAATAGGACACTACTTCATTTCTCTTGCTTTCTTCAGCTGCCTTTTTCCAAGCACTATCCACCATCAAGAAAAGATCTTCACCATTTTTTGGCTTTGCACAATCTTTTACACAATTCGTGATTGCATCACAGACAAGACTCACTAATTCGTCAAACTCAACTTTGTTTCCCATTTTCTCCGGCGTGAACCGCACCGAAGCAGGCATAATGATGTTCCCACAAGAGTCCTTTGAAATTGGTAGAGATGTTGATGTTCTTCCTCTCATGTTTATCAAATGAGTTATTATAGATGGCCTCAATTGTCCATGTTTAGCTTCTGCCACTCTAATAAGCGCTTTCCAAATAAGCGCTGTCACCAACTGCACCCTTGAAAATTGCCCAGCTCCTTGGGCAAGCCTTCTCAGATTTGATATGGCAAGATTACTGAAAACGAACGTCGCGGACGCAACCTATTTCAGGATGAGGTTGAGAGATAGGAGTGACTTTAGGCCTCACTTCCTTGTGCGGAAATTGACTAAATCAAAGCTGGGTTGATGATGCACTACTTTGTCAAACCCTAATCTGCAGAAGTACTCCACGCATCAATGAATTTTGAATACACAAATCATCAACTATTCTATGTGAAATGCACAAGCCAATGGCTACTCCACCACACTCAAACATGTTCCATTGAACAGCAACTAAAGGCGTTGAGGGTGATTCAGATTGATGTGGAAAAAACTGATGTAAATTCTTGCAATCAAGATCCCTCCTAAGAAATGGGGCGAGGTGGCAAACTACTTCAGCTTCGACATTACTACTCCATGATCATTACAATCGATCATGAGCTTGTCCTCGATATACCTTCCAGCTAGAGGGTAGAAGAGTGTTAAAATTTGGGATAGAGACGTTTCCAAGAGCTTACTTCTTTCGAAAGTCTTGGTTTTTCATTGAGAGGGTAACAAAAAAGGTAGGGAACATAAATTGGAAGTTGACATTGATCTAAAGATGATATCTTTAATTTGCGAAGGTTATAAGGAGTTGGAGATGCTGGTTTTACGAATTTTTGGAGAGGATGTGAGAAGGAAATTGGGCTGCATTGTTAATTTCTAGCTAGTCTTTTGGATGAAGAAGGGGACTGCATAGGAGAATTTATTACAAAATAAATATGGATGTTGTCAGCAAAGCCATGTGAGTTTATAGAATAAATATGGATAGATTGTCGACGGAAGTGGTTCATTGGAAGACCAAAAAATATAATTAGTTGTCAATGGATGGTATCAAAATATGTTTAAGAGACTTGTTCTAATTAGTCTAAATAAATATTATATTTTTTTAGTTGACATCCAGATATAATTAAGCAACTTGATCTAAGTTTCCTAATATTATATTTTTTTGAGATAATTTCAAAATAAATGCAACTTATCTAATCCTCAACCTTAATATTATATTACTGAGATTTATAAGGTACCTTGTGATCTCAAGTTAAATTAATTAATGGTTAGTTAGTGGTGGGGTGAGCACGGGTAGCGGGTAGAACGGAACCGGGGTAAGAACGGAACCGGAACCGGAACCGGAACCTACCCAGAACCTGCACTGTGCGGGGTAGTTTCGGTTCCAATTTTTTGGAACCGCTACTGTGGGTTCCGGTTCTGGTTCTGCATGTGGAGGAATCGGAACCGGAACCGGAACCTGTAAAAAGGGTACCCTGTTTGGAACCTGTAAGGGTACCCAGTTTGGAACCTGTTTGGAACCTGTTTGGAACTTGTTTTGAAACCTGTTTGGAACCTATTTTGGAACCTATTTAGAACGCTTTGGAACCTGTTTGGAACTATTTTGGAACCTGTTTGGAACCTGTTTTGAAACCGTTTTTGGAACTGTTTAGAACCTATATTGGAAACTGGACTATAATGAAATATTTGTAATGTAAATAATGGGGGAGTTTCTATTATTTTACATATAAAAAAATTTAAAATAGAAAAAGTTAAATTTTTGAATAACCTAATTAAATAAATATACGAATACAATTATACTTATACATATAAATTACACCATATTTAAAAGCTTTAATATATTATAACATTAATATTAAAGTTTTGATCAATTAAGTGAATAATTGGAATTATGATCCAATTAAAAGTGTTTTACATTTTTAGTTATTAAAAGAATTATTTTTGATAAAATAGTATATTTGATTGAGTAATAATATATTAGTTATTACTTCAATTATCAGGTTCTAAGTATATATATAATAAATTAGTAATTAATAATTATATATGATAAATTGATAAAACATTAATAAATATTACTATTAAATATCATACTTAATCAATTTAACATTACATTATAGTTAAATGATTACTTAATTAATTATAATTTTATAAACATTACTTAATTGATTTATAGTATAATTAATTATAGCATTACATTAATTGATTACCACTTAATTAATTGACTTATAAGTTATAACATAATTATAGTTAATAATGACTTATAATTAGAAATTTAATTAATTATGGCATTACGTTATAGATTATATTATTATTCTTAATCAATATAAAATTCCATTATAAACATAGTACAAACTTAATTAAATGATTAAAAATTTAATTAATTAATATTACACAAAAATTTATAGTATGATTACTTAATAGTTAATTCACTATAATATTACATATAGTATGATTATAATTAATTATAACATTACATAATTAAATAATTATTAATTGATTATGTCATTATATTATAAATATTAGTAATTACTAATTTACTACATAAACATTAGCATAATACTTAATTAATGATAAGAAATTTAATTAATTATAATATTATCTTATAAACATTTCATTATAAACATAATTAAGCATTACATTATAGTTAAATAATTACTTAAAAAATTAATATTATTAAATTACATTATATTTATGATCACTTACTTAATTATAGCATTACATAGTTAAATAATTACATAATTAGTTATGAATTATAACATTAATTATTAAACATTAGTAATTTACTAATTTACTATATTATACATTACTTAATTAAACGATTAAAAATTTATTAATTATAACATATCTTTATATTTTATATATGATTACTTAATCAATTATAACATTTCATTATAAACATTAGTATATTAATCAAATGATTTGAAATTTAATTAATATAATATAAATTATGAATTTATAGTATGATTACTTAATCATTTAACATACATTATACATTATTGTATGTCTATCTATTAATAATATAAACATATAAATTAAATAATAATTAATGATTAGAGTTATGATATTTTGTTTTAAACATAGTAATTACTAATTTACTATATAAACATTAGCACAATACTTAATAAATGATAAGAAATTAATTACTTATAACATTACTTTATAAACATTTCATTATAAACATTAATTAAACATTACATTATAGTTAAATAATTACCAATTAAATTATAATATTATTATATTACATTATAATTGATCACTTACTTAATTATAGCATTACTAGTTAAATGATTACATAATTACTAATTAGTTATGAATTTATAACATTACATATAAACATAATAATTTACTATATTATTACATTACTAATTAAACGATTAAAAATTTAATAATTATAACATACCTTATATATTTATAATATGATTACTTAATCAATTATAACATTCCTTATAACATTAGTATATTAATCAAATGATTTGAAATTTAATAATATAATATTAAATTATAGATTATAGTTGATTACTTAATCATTATAACATTACATATACTATAAGTTGATCATATAATTAATAAACATTACAAATTAAATGATTACTTAATTGATTAACATATATTATAAACATTAGTAATTTACTAATTTACACAATAATTAATCAAATTATTATATTTATTGATTATAACATTATATTATAAATTTATGGTATGATTTTAATTAATTATAACATTCTTATAAATAATATTCAATACTAATTAAATGATTAACAATTAATTAATTATAATATTACATTATAATTAAATAGTATATTACTTAATTAATTATAACATTACAATTTACATTGTAGTATGATCACTTAATTAATTATAACATTACAATTTACATTGTAGTATGATCACTTATTTAATTATAACATTACTAGTTTCTAATATTAAATTTACTAAATTAATTTGGTATTTTAAATACCCAATTGACCAATTATAACATTAAATTAATAAATTAATAAATATAATAATTATTTATGTGAATTATGATGAAAATGTTGTTGTTTTTGATTGACGAATTTTATGTGAATTGTGATGAATTGATTGAATTCAAGTGTTGCTTAGAGATTACAGGTTATGAGTTACATTGGACACAAATGAATGAATAATGAAAATTTGTTAGGGGTGTATTTGTAAACTTATAAGGTGTTTTTGTTATTTTTTAAACTAATAGGGGGGTAATTTTTTTTATAGGGTACCCTGGAAAGGAACCGGAACTTGCATTTTAGGTTCCGGTTTCTTGAATTGAAGAACATGTACTGTGCGGTTCCGGTTCCGGTTCCTTTTTTTGGGAACCTGCACTGTGCAGTTCCGGTTCCCCCGAAAAATGCAGGGTACCCGAAACCGCTCACCCCTAGTTAGTGGGATACCTTTTTTATCAATCAAGAGACATTTATTAAATTAACTAGCAACATATCCTCAGTATGCTTCCTTAACGACTCAAATTCCATAAATTAACTTACTTCTTTTCCCATTTTCCCATTCTCATTCTTTGTTTCAGGGTAAATTTTTTGGACAAATTTCTTTTATAGGCTTTAATCAGAGCCACTTTTTTCAATTCAATCATATTATTTTGATACACATAATTTTTTTAAGTTATTGTTAATGTTCAATTAGAATCCTCTTTTAATCTGATATTTATAGAACAAAATATAAAATTGTGATCGATAGTTAATTGAAAAGATAAAAAACAGAAAACACGATGATACGATAAGTATGGAGATAAAAATTACAGTGAAATAATGTTAAACTCAGCATCTAGAACGCAACAATATTGAATGATTATCATCAAGCTGCTCTACCTGGGACGTGAAAGCTAGAATGTCAGGATCTTGTTGAAAAATTGGCATATCATTTTCATCCAAGGATATCCATACTTCAACTCCATCACCATCCTTGGTGTCCATCAACAAAATAATTTCTTCAGGAAAAGATTGTACCCTCATCACTCTAACAGGCTTTCCCCATCCAAAATCTGGATAAAATGGCATCCTGCAAGTGCTTGTAAAGAAATAAGACTCCACTTCCTCTCCATTGCATTCTTCAGCTGCCTCACTCCAAGCCCTATCCACCATCAAGAAAATCTCATCTCCATTTTGAGGTTTTGCAGAGTCTTTTACAGCATTTGCAATTGCATCAAAAATTAGACTCACTAAATCATGAAACTCCACTTTGTTTCTCTTCTTTTCTGGCTTGAACTTCACCATAACAGGCCTTGTGAAGTTCCCACAAGAGTCTTCTGAAATCGGTAGAGCTTTTGTTGTTCTTCCTCTCATGTTTATCAAAAGGGTCATAACAGAAGGCCTCAATTTCCCATGTTTTGTTTCAGCCATTCTAATAAGTGCTTTCCAAATAAGCGCTGCCACCAATTTTACCCTGGAGCTTGAATCCCCTTTGTCAAGCATTGATCTCAGATTTGATATGGAAAGATTATCGAAAACAAACTTAGCCGATGCAATCTTTAAGTCGGGAAGATTTGGAAACACATGCTTGATCTCAGGCATTGCTTCTCTTGCGGGTAAAAGGAAACCCAAATCAAAGCTTGGTTTGTTTTCCACTTTATCAAAACCTAATTTGCAAGAAGTACTCCATGCATCAATGAATTTTGAGTACACAAATCCATCAACTATTCTATGTGAAATGCACAAGCCAAGGGCTATTCCACCACACTCAAACATGTTACATTGAACAGCTACTAAAGGACTCGTGGGGGATTCATATTGATGTCGAATCAAATGATGAACATGTTTGCTATCAAAAAATTTCTCAAGAATTGGAGCAATATGGCTGGCTATTTCGGCTTCGACATATTCAACTCCGTAGTCATTACAATCGATTAAGAGCTTGTCTTCAATATATCTTCCAGCTAGAGGGTAGAAGAGTGTTAAAATTTGGGACAATGATGTTTGCAGCTGCTTACTTCTTTCAGAATTTTTGGTTTTGTCATTGAGAGGGTAGCAGAAAAGGTAGGGCACATATATTGGAAGTTCATATTGATCAAGGGATGATATTTTCAATTTGCTATTTTGGGGAGTTGGAGTTGCTGGTTTTATGAACTTTTTGGAGAGGATTTGGAGAGGAAATTGGGGCTGCATGTTGGTAGGATATTGTGGTGAAGAAAGGGGCTTATGGCAATTATAATTTATAATTATAGGGGTTAATTGAAAGTATTAAGATAAACGTTATCCCAAAAAAATTAATCTCATTATGATTCATATGAAAAGGTAATATTACTTTCTAATATATGAATCGTCATATTATGCTATTATTTTTTTAGAAGACAATTTTATGGTTCATACGAAAAGATAATATTATAATTTTTATCTCAAATTTTAAGAATCTTTTGCGTCATAACTCTATTGCCAGAAAGCATGTGTACCTAATGTTAAAGAAAGTAAGTTTTCTTCTAAAAGTCTTATACGTCTCTTTTTTTTTTTTTTTTTTTTTTTTTTTTTGGGATAAGTATAAGTCTTATACATCGTTCATTGTACAATGAATATGATAAACTAATGTTATGGATGACTTCTGGTCATGTCAGGAATCAAATACAGTTTAAAATTTATCATCTCTGAGGGTGTTAAGTGATAATCAAATTATAAAATGACTTTCCCACTGTTTGAAATGGTATATATATCCAGCCTCATAAATTATTGTATTTTTGAGTTGGCAACTGACATTTTTTTGGCAGCTTCTGCTCACCAATCAGTTCCTTGTAATTTGGAACAAAAAAGAAACAGAAAACTCTGCAGGAATCCAAGGACATTTGCCCAGTTGAAATTTGAAACTCTTGCATCGAATTGAGTCCTTTACTAAACTTGTACATATACATAGCACTATTCTGAAAGTTCAAGAGAGGAATGGTGGGAGCAAGCAAATAAATTGTTTGAATGTTGAAGTCAAATATTCTCAGGTTCAGGTTTCTGCATTATTTCAAAAAATCCAAAAATATTTATGAACTCCTATCAACTCTGTTTCTGGAGAATTGGAGTGTGAATATAACAAAAATACGGACGTATGCAAAAGCGATTGACTAAACTTGATGAATCCAAACTCTTATTAAGAACTAAGGAGCCAAATATTACTTACTGAAGTTCAATTTGATAAACTGAACTTGGAAAATTTAAATTACATAGAATTAAATACAGAAATCTTATAATGCTCCAACCCATAATAATTTGCTTTCTAATATGAATTTACAACATTTTTAATCTGACATTGTAGTTAAACTGCTTCTGGCAAAGTCAATATGACAATACATCGGAATCTTCTTAACTTAGTTGCTTTGGTCCATAAGACCATTCTTGCTAACTGACTCCTTTTTTATTCTCCAGATTGCTTTCACTTCATCGGTCCTGAACCTTTGCGTAAATGTAGATTCCTCTAGTGGAGTTGATGAGCCATGAGCGAATTCAAGAAGACCGGTGTATGCAATCATCGCTCCATTGTCAATGCAGTACCTGTCATCGGTTGCAAACAACTTTCCACCTCGCTCAGAGCACATTGTTCTCATCATCTCTTGCAAACGCTCGTTACAACCCACACCACCAACAATAAGTATATCTTTTTTGTCACAATGCGCCATTGCCCGTTCCGTAATCTCCACAAGCATTGCAAACAAGGTTTCCTGCAACATATAAGTAAGCAAAACGTACATAAGAAAGACATAAATACAATTTGTTCAATGACATAACACATGCAGCCTTAGACTAAAAAGGTTATGTTAACGTAAGCAGTGGATGAAAAATGCAGCTTACCTGCAGGGAATAGCACAAGTCTGCAGGTGTACACTCGTTATTTTTGAGCTTCTCCTCGGCGGTGGCTTCAATATAACTCAAAATCCCGCTAAAAGAGACATCCATCCCTTTGACAACATAAGGAAGGTCTATGAACTTTTCTCCTTTCTTCGCTAGCTGAGGAAACAAAACATACAAGGCAATATTAAATATGAAAATAAAATCAACATTTTCATTTGTAGATTAGAATAATAGTAAAATTTTATAAACAACCTCAAGCATAAAAAATGTTGTATGATATTCAAAGTATTAGCAACACCAATCTTATTTTTCCAAGCATTGTGAGATAGACTTACACCACTGTCACATGCACGCTCCAAACAGAAAGACTGAATTGAACAACTCTATATTCAATTCAGAGATCCAACTCAAGATTAAGGGAGATGAAGACAACTGAAATGATTCACAAAACAAAAAGTCTGGTACTAAATTTTATCATGATAAGAAGAAGAGATGGAAACAAGTTTTATGTTCAGCCCAAACTCAGAAGTTATTTCATTTAAGCCAGGAGACTCTCACTTTTCGGAAGGTTTGGTCAAGATATTTTGAGTGCAACAGGCAAGTTTGGACCAAACAATCAATTTGCATGTCAAACTCACCACGGCAAAAAATTTAAAGATATCACAAGATAGATGCATCTTGTACTCATTGAAAATGGTTACAGTCCAGGATCAAATAAAGAAAAAGAACTTCAATGAGAAATGGAAGGGAAATATGCTCATCAAATAAATGACGCAATATATATAGCTTGGTGTAACAATCAAGATCGACCTTGATCTCAATTCTTCTTCAAATTGAGTAAATACTATGCAGAGTAGCTGCAGTTCACACATTATAAGCCAGAACTTAACTATTTCAAATGCATGAGTTTCTAAAGCGCAAAAGGTTTTGGGAAAATAAAAATAAGATCCAAACTGAGTTCTATAACATTAGTTCTCTTGCACTTAAGGATATTATTGCAATCAAAACCCAAGTATAATTCAAAGACATGGATTTTAAAAAACCAATACAAATAACAAGTTTAAAACAGAGTCCAAACAGTATATAATACAAATTCAACCTTAACGAACCTGCTCAATGTTATATCCAGGGCTTGGATCATTGGAGAGAGTTAAAACCCGAGCAAAGCGATCCAAGCAGTTTCCCACAGCAATATCAATAGTCTCCCCAAAGATCCGATATCGCCCTTCACTGTACGCAATTACCTGTGTATTCCCTCCGCTGACATACAGGACAACAGGATCATCTGCTCCAGTCACAATCCTCCCCATCTCAATATGTGCCACACAGTGATTGACAGCAACAATGGGCTTCTTCCACAGTTGTGAAAGAACCCGAACAACAATAGCAGAAACTTGCAAAGGTGCCCCCATGCCTGGACCCTTGGTGTAACAAAGGCAATCAATTTCATCAGGGTTTATTCCAGCAGTTTCCAAAGCAGATTTTATAAGAGGAAGAATGTGTTGGAGATGGTGTTGGGCGGTTTCTCGAGGGAGGAATCCATGGCCAGGGGGCGTAATGTAGGTATGGCGTGGATTTGATAGAATGGTTCCATCTAACGTTACAACCCCAACACCAATCTTGTTTGCAGAACCCTCAAAACCAAGAGCTATCATTTTCTTCATCGTAAAACCAAGCCCTGCTATATTTACACAAACTTGATAAGCTTCAACCAAAAATGTTGACAATTAAGAGACAAAAAAATATATTATTTTACTCCACAATTTAAGAATAAATACAACAATGATATTTGCTAATATTAAAAAGACATGGAAATCAGGCTTATGAAAAAGTTATTAATGTGAACAAATCTCAAGATATTTAAATTGTTTTTAAAGCTTTGCTACTTTGCTCCTAATAGAACTCAAGCTATGTTACTCTCTCAAGTAACTCAAGTTGAAACTGATAAATGTTGTTATTAGATGTCAGAAAGCAAAAAAAAATAAAACTAAACTTTCCTTCTCTTTCTTTTCAGAAAATTGTTGCAGAACTTGCGACTGAACAATCTTGCTCTTTTTTCTTTTTTCTACGAAACCAGATAACATTAAACAAACAGTACCCAAATACAAAAGTTAGAACATCAATCAAAAGAGTTGGAGAATTGCAAGCAAAACATCCAAGTCATAAGACTAACAAGGCAAATATACCAGGAGACAGGTAGCACAGTGCAACAAAAGAATACACAGCGCTGTTTAAAACTGGCAAAGGTGAAATAAACCCATTAATCTATGCTTCATAACATGAACATCCCATTTGTATATGAGAGAGAGTTCACCTGTAAGAAGCAACCCAACTAATCTCCATATTAACTATGAATTAATAGACAAAAATATCCTAAAATTGGAACAATCCACTCTCAAAACAAACTACAACCATAGTCTGTATTTGGAACCTCAAACTGGGTAAGAAGTGAAATCTATATACACTTTCATAGACACATCCCTCTACATGTATAAACCCACTGAGGAATGCAATGCCTATCAAAAGAGATTACTCACATAATTTGGTGAACAAAAATTGCAATCTTGTGAAGCTATTTCCACAAAGCACTTCAAATATTTTGAACTCAAAATCTACTTTTTTTAAAGCACTTATTAAGTGGTTATCCAAAAAGCACACAAGTTTCTCTTTGAATGAAAAACTACTCTTATATATGTCCATCCAAGACTGCAAAAAATAGATATAAAAGCACTTTTGCCCATTTTAAAATTTTTTTATAGCTTACAAAGCCCTTCTAAAATGCATACATCTACTCTTCATAGAAAAACAGGCCCATTAACAACCTAAAACTGCAAACCTTCAAAATTTAACCAAAACCCCCATCAAAAGATGTCAAAAATGAAACCTCTTTCTTCTCCCTAAATCACAAGACCACTCCAAATAGAAAATTAAGAAAAGGAGAAAAAAAAAAAAAAAAAAAGCAAACCAAAACTGAAGTTCAATCTTTCAAAAGCCCATTGAGAATTAGTGCATACAAGTTCATAAAAGGAGTTTAATCTGACAAACAAATACATAATTAAGAGAAAGAGGACTTTTTAATAGTAAAAGAAAGCGGAAGAATACCTGCGGCGGCCGAGTGGTTGAGTTGAGCAGAGAGAAACGTAACGGTAACTGACAGTAGATAACTGTCAGAACTACTAGGGTTTTAAAGCCTTCAAAAGTTATCTCCTTCTGCAATTTGCCTCCAGGCTTGTGGGAAAGTACCCAACAGTATAAAAGGGGCATAAGTGTAAATAACTATGATTTTAGGGGCTTTTGAAAACCTTCTCATAATTTTCTAAGGGGGTGTTTGGTTCCGGGAGTGTTGGATTATTGGGAATGTTGGATTACTGAAAAGTTAGATTACCTTGAAGATTACTAAGAATCCTTAAGAAAATGTGTTTGAATAATTGGTAGATATGTTATATTAATATGTTTGGTTGGGAGGAATAAATTGATGAGTATGTTATTTAAATTACTGAATTGTCTGTTAATTAAATATTATTATTATATTATTTTTTTATATGGATTATTATAACCCTTGCATTTAAAAACTTAGCAAAAACAACCCCATAATAAAAGTTTGAAAAATCAACAAAGCATTCTCACCAACCTAGCCACTATCGGCAACCACCGTAGGGTGTTGGCAACCTAACGGCGCACGTAAGGCAGGAAATGGAGTCCGTGCGCCGTATGTTCATCTCTGGCTAGAAATGGCTAGACGTGACAGATCTAGCCTTTGACGACCATATCGGCGTACGACGACCATTTTCGACCTTCCGTGCGCCATTCTAACAACGACGGTGGTTGTCAGCGTGGTTGGGGGTGGTGGCTTGGGTGAGTTGTAATTTGTTTTGAATTCAAGGGTAATTGTGTCCACAAAGTTAATTAATTTGGGTGAAATAGTAAAATTTATATTCATGTAAATAAATTTAAAAATAAGGGTATTATTATCCTAAAATTTTATTAATAAGGAATAGAATTGTAACAAAAAAAAAATAACCTTAGTAATCTTAAAATACCTAAGAAAATAGAGATAATCAGATTACCTCTAACATATTACCAATAGTAATCACTATTGATATTTGAAGATTATTGATATTTTATATTATTTGACAATCAAACATAGCAATCAAATAATATAAGATGACTTAACCCCAATAATCTCATATAACCCCCAACCAATTGCCCCTTAAAAGTATTTCCAATATTTAATATTATATGACCACTTTACTCATATACTTTCAAATATATTTTAAATTTTTGAAAAATTGAGTGTAATATATGAAATTGCCTTTTTTTTTTTTTTTTTTTTTTTTTTGGCTGCTCTATCACATGTATGTGGAGATGAGGATATGATACACGTACATGTGTATCCTCATCTCCACGTATACTCTTTTTAATGGTTTTTATAAGTATCCACTAAATAAGTTTTTTTCTTTTTTTGAAATACGGTGTCCGAATCAATTTACACACACATTGACTAATCCTTGTAAGTAATTAGTATAACATCCCACCCCATTAATCACCTATTTAAATCTTAAAAATTAAAAGGATTCAAACCTGAGACCGTGCATCTTAATCACACATTCCCGTGTTAGTTCATTAAACAAGTTATTTTCATGTTATACCCGATAATGAGAGATAATAACAAACATGTCGAGCACATGGAGCCTTGAAAACTGATCTTTAAAATCTACAAAATTCTTCTAAAATGTACGTTTGTTAAAATAATATGATTTTATCCTATAATATATGATATAAACTTTTCTTTCTAAAAAATTCTTATTAATTTCTAGGTTTTTCTCTTACAGGGAGGAGGTTTCACTGACGTATGCAAGAAATTTTGGGCTGGATTACATTTCAATAGACATGATCTAGGTATGTAATATGTTTGCTCCTTGACATCAATAATAAACTATTGTTGCAACTTGCAAGAATCTTTACATTTATATGAAGAATTTAGTTCTATTGATTAAAACTCGTTAAAATCATCGTTCCCATTAGAAAGATCATTATGGACATCTCCTAAAATTATCAAAATCCTTGACCCAAGTTTCATAGAAAGGAAGTTACTAACCGATGCCCATCAATTTGAAAGACTACAAAACCCTCATTACTCAAATGATCAAAGACAAAATCTTGGCCTAGTTATTTACTCAAATCTAAAATTGTTCTTTAAAGAAACTTACAAGAAAAAGAACAAAAAATAAACTGAGATACAATACTCTGAATGCTATACAGAACATATCAAACCCTGACTAAATGGGGATGAGAGAGCAATAGAATAATTTTAACCTTCTGCAAACATCCTGATGCCCAAGAGTCTTTGATGGGCTCGAAAGGCCTGTACATCGACGCCCTAATTTTTTCTACAAATGATGAGCTCCCAACAATTGGAGTGTAATTATATAAGAATCACTGGAACTATATACAACTCTTCTGCTCTTTGTCTTCTATCTCCTTCACACTGTCAACTATGTGTTGGATTTTCTTCGACAAACTCTCGTTGTGCTCCTCAATTTGCTCAAAAATCAATTCCAGATGCCTTTTATAGGTTGCCGCCCTCTTTTTCTCAATTGCTAGCTGCTGTGATAGTTCCCGAATTTTATCGTGTTCATTCTACAAATACGAGTAATAAAAAGTCAATCACAATAGAGAAATAGCAAGCAACAACATGACTTCAAGACAAAAGGTAAGTCCATATAATCACTTATAGCAGTAAGATGTTGCTTTTAATACAAGTCCATTTTCAGATACCGTTGGCCATTTTGCACTCAAGATTGCACTGATTGATGTTTCCGAGTACGGCCAACTTTGTGACCCTAACATTTCAAGTGTTGTGAGACAAATGTAATAAATAGGATCGGGTTGAACTCACTCCCAAAAGCATGACCAAATAAGGAAGGTTTCAACCACAGATATACACTATAACAGTCAAGCAACTTGACAATGTGAGACAAACTCAACTTCTAACAAAATGATAACTATCTAAGTATTAATACATGCCCTAAATTCATACCTGAAAATCTATGTCCATTAAATTACAATTTTATACTAATAAAATTCTACCATTTCAATTCATGCTAGAATAAACAACCAAGATTTAATCATGGAAGAGAGTGAGGGGGGAGAGAAATAGAATAGGGGAAGCCATATCAACTACTACAATCTGTTGGTACTGTTTATGGCTGCTACCAAAGGTTGAAAATTCGTCATAAAAAATGATGTAATATTTAAAAATGCCATTAACCTGACCACAACCCCATGTATGTGAAGGGAAACTTCGCGATGCACCAGCAAAAAACCCATTGGATGAAATAACATATCGTGCAGAAAACAGTAATTGTTTCAATTCCCATTGAAATCCCAAAGGCTCCTTTAAAATGTAAGAAATATAAATAATTGTTGCATAAAAAGAACTAAGAACACAATAGAAAAGCCAATCTAAAAAAGTTCAATACCAAAAGGTATAAGAACACTAAAATCAAGAGAGTCCTAATTAATTCACTTAAATGCTACCAGAAACTCAAAAGAATTGTTTCAGATTCTACCCCAACAAAATGAACCTACGGCACTTTTGCAGGATTGAATATCCTAAATGCTAATGTAGATTTGCTAGCATTATTTAGTATTTCCAAATTCCTTAAGCACTACCACAAAACTAATCTAACACATCAAAGAACTCAGTACAGCCGTGCATGTGACATATCATCAATGCTTACTAACACTCATAAGAGAGGTCTGGGTTTTGAAGACAACCCAAACAACAAAACGATTGTTAATCATTTATAAAATGCCCCAACAGAATTAATAATATGTTCACTAGAAAAAAAATGAATCTAGTTCTTAAAAACTTTATAAAGAGAGAAAAGTAAACTAAAGAAATTAGTTCAGTCCCAAAAAGGAGCTCTTGATAAATTTGTCACAACCAATATAAAGGATGTCAAATTAAGCTCCACTGAACAGAACAAATATGAGGACTTACACAAACTTTTAAAGTAAGCCTTTTCATATTTAATATAAACTAAAATTATTAAAGTATCTATATAACTGTATTTTCACAAAATTAGTTAAACTGAATTATGAAGTCCTGAACGCAATTAAATACAAAACAGAAGATGTCTCTAAATTAGTGGAATGGACTTATATTTATCTAACAATATAATATTGTTTCTTTATTGTGTCATCATCATAAATTCTCTAACCAAAGCAAAGGGCAGAGACCAGTTTTATAGCAAGAGTAGCCTCAGTGGTCAGTAAACTGCCAGAAGTAAATGCCTTATGTCATTCAAAATGTTTGTTATGCTTTCAACAGGCTGAGACTCACAACATACACTTCCCACTAAGGACAAACATTTCTACTGCAGATAAAGGGAACGGCATGATAAGTGTTTATATCAAACATAGAAATGCTGAGGGTAACATAAGCTCTTGCACACAGGTCAAATAAATAACTAATGCTGAAGGAAAAGTATAGATACTAAGGCTTATTCTACTTTCCAATTGTCGGTTTCAGGGAAAAAGGAATATGAACCTATACTGGTTGTGACACTGGCCCATATCTTGGAAGAATTTAGGCTTATTTCATTTTAGTATTGGGATTGTTTCAGAAAAAGGAAGTGCAAATCTAGACCAGGCTTCATGACACATATCTCAGCAAAAGTTAGGCTTAAACTATTGTTTGTTTCAGGAAATAGTGAGTGCAAACCAAAACCAGGTGTGCACAGACAAATCTCAGGAAAATTCATTTGCATGCCATAAAAACACCAAATTCCATCAATGGTACTTCCATTATAATGATTCTCAGAAATTATTACAGCTATACTAATGATTGACTTGGTCTCCAACACATTCAAATGAAAGATTATGGACAAACAAACTTGATAATATCTAGTTCCTAAGAATAAAAAATAAGAAGAGTGCTAGAACTGACCGGGTATTGGTCGTAAATGCAATCTTTTCGACCTTTCCCAGGTGTCAAGGGATGAGTGTGCTCCTTCACAAACTTTGTAACAACCCATTTACCTGAACTTACTTTCCTCACCAAAATCATTGCCCTGCAACCAACCCTGGTCTCCGCTCTTTGCCTTACAATTTTTTCACGCTTGTCAGGCATTCTGTAGCCTTCTTTATTACACACAAGTGCGCGACCAATAGCTGATCCATCACGCCTTGATCGAGAAAGTTTGCTTACACGGATGATGAATCCTACACGCGTAGCATAGGTATTATAAAATGCATGTGCAGCTGCTTCAGAGTCAAATTCCTGTCCCACATAGGGCTCATCTGACAAAGCCAATGACACAGTTGGTACTCCCTCTGGAATTGCATCCAGTTCCACAGAATCAGGATCCATTTTATTGTCTTGATCCTGGTGAAAAGCTACTTCAACAGAACTTCCACCCATGTCATCTCCATCACCGACTCGACTATGCGCCTCAACAGAAATTCCCACCATATCACCATTATCATTGCCATCAACCCCGTAATCCACTGTATAACAAGAAAAATTACAATGATTTTCCATACCGCATGGTAAACACCAGCTAAAACACAAAACTAGCATTCCCCTCTTCATTGCTAAAACAAAAAAAAACAAGGACAGATAATCAAATTCTAACTTCTATTTTCAGCTTTCAGCTTTCAGTTTCCAAGTCCAAAAGAAGAAAATAAAGGACTTAACTTAACAAGACAATATATTTGTCAAAGTCTCAGTACTATTGATATACCCCAATAGTTTATCATCACTCAAATAAAGCATATCTGTTAACTCCAACAAACTGCTCTCAAACAACTCAACTCATCGCTGAATTACCAGGAAACCAAACGAAATTAAAGCAATAATATGAACTTTTAAGTAATATTTTCATCATCAATTACTATAAAACGATAAACATAATACTAACTCAACCAACCCAAATTTCAGTAGCTATTTTTTCATATTTACAGCTTCCAAACAAGCCTTAAACTAAATTTCCCTTCATATCCACATGAAATTCTACTTTTCTTCTAAAACAGAGCAAAGAAATGAAAAATTCCCACCTCCCTTTCCCACATTTTCTCAGCAACCAAACAAGTCCAAACTCAAATTCCCTTAATACCCACCTAAAATTTTTCAAACAAGAGCCAACAAATTAAAACCTCCCATATCCTAAAACCCAAAAAGAAATCGAAAAACGACATAAAGACTCAAACTTTAAACAAAACACAGCTCAAATTCACATATTCAAACCAAAAACTAATCAATCTTTCACAATTTTCACTCTAATACATTAAATCCAGTTTAAAAATAAAACAGTGATAATCAAACAACATAATCAATATTTATTAAATTTTAATTCCATCAAATAACAAATTTTAAATATAAAAAAACTTACTTGAAATCAAGTTGATTTATCAAGACGACACTGGTTCGATGATCGAAATTTAGGTTTCGAAGAGAGAGAGAGAGAGGGGCGGGGAGATGAGGTGAGGGTTCAGGGCAAATAATTATAGGGACGCGGGGTAGGGGTGACATGGAAAGATGTGATTGGTCCATGTAACAGTAAAAGTCAACTTTTCTGTTCAGCCTAATGGCTGATATTCCACTGGCGAATCAGGTTAATCACGACTTTATGATGGAGTCGCGTTGCTTACTTTAAAAGGGCACGAGAAAATGCGTGGCGTGGCATGAGAGGGCCCCACCTGGCGGGTCCCGCAGTGAAGAGATTTCATGTTTTCTTTTTTATTCTTTAGCTTAAACGAATCGTTTTGGGGTTTGTGTTTTTTGTTGGTTTTATATCACAAAAGAGGAAGTTTAAAATTCGAAATGGAGCAAGTTGATTTGATTTGACGTTTGAGATTCCAAAAGATTGTCAAAAGGATGGCAATGGTCAAGTCGGGATCAGGTATCCCTTGGTTCAGGCCCAAGTCGGGATCAGGTATCCCTTGGTTCAGCCCAAGCCTGGCTCGGGCCTATCATGAATATGATAAGTAAAGTCTAAGTCCAGTTTGATGAGCTTTTTATAACACCAGGTTTGGCCCAAGTCCGTCTATTTTATAATGTGATCTTTTAAATATTAATAAATTTTAAATTTTTTTATATTTTTAATTCTAAAAATAGTTTTTAAATATTTATTTATTTTTTAATACTCATCAAATAGGATAAGATTAGAGTTTGGGAAAAATGAGTATATATATATATATATATATGGGATAATCTTATAATTAAATATATAGTATAATAGTAATTTAGTATAATTAATACTAAAATTGTCAGACCGATTCGATCTTGAAGATATTCCCAGACCCGGCCTGTACCCGAGGTCAAACCTTAAAATCAAGCTCAAGTCTAAGCTCAAGCCCGTGAACATCAAGTAAAGCTCGACCTTATTGGGACAGGCCAAGCCAAGTATCCAAAAATATTAGGCCCTATCTCGACGTACATTGTTCTTCAAGTTTTCAAAACAAATTTATTATTTGAGTAATACTATATTCACAATTAGATTTAATAAAACAGGTATTATACCCGAATAAAATTACTATGTTGAAAGCCCGTATGAACAGTATCCATATGCAGTCGACATGCTTTTTTTACGGGTGTTACCGGAGGGTAGCTGCTAAAAATAAAAAATAAAAAATAAAAAAAAAGTGTAATTTTAATTTGATCCAAATCTAAACACAAAACACAGTTCTTTGTCTTTCTCAGTTTCTCTGGTATTCTTTACAAAACCCACTTGAGCAATACACACTCTAGTAGCTTGTAGCTTCAATACAATCTAGAAACAGCGAAAACAAAAACAGAAACTAGGAAAACAGAACAAAAACAAAAACAAAAACGGGTACTGAAATAAACCCAAAAGAGAACCAAAAATAAAAATAAAAATAAAAACTGAAAACAAGGAAAACAGAAGTACCAGATCTCTTTTTCTTGGTATTTTAATTATATCTTTCTACTTCTTAAAACCCCTTTACTCCAGGTACTCATTTCTCCTTAAAGTTTGTATTTTTTTTAATATTTTTTGGCATGCGTTTTTTGTTCTTTTTTTTAACTTTTCTTGATAAATTTGTGTTCTTTATGTTATTTTTGTCTTTGCAGTGTTTATAGATTCATTCAAGGCGCAAACTTTGAGTGTGGTTTTTGAAAACTGAGTGGTTTGCTCGCCAATGAGCGGTCAAGATTGATTTTGAGATTGATCGTGGGTTTGTGTTTGATTTTGGTTTGTTTTTAGTTAAGACGGATGACCTGCATATCTATGTATATTTAAATGATAGAATTTGAGGTGGGTCTGACTTCTCACCCAATAAGATCTTATTGAATGGAAGGATTACCTCCTCTTATAACCCAATAAGCTTGAGCGTGCCTAGTCGATATGGGACTCCAATACTCCCCCTCACGGTCAAACCCATATATTTGCTCATGCCTACTATTGGAGGTAGTTGCTGGCTTTAACTCCTCACCCATTAATTAAGCACTCAGCTCAACTAAACTTGGGCTCTGATACCATGTTAGAATTTGAGGTGGGTTTGACTCCTCACCTAATAAGGCCTTATTGAATGAGAGGATTATCCCCTCTTATAACCCAATAAGCTTGAGCGTGCCTAGTCGATGTGGGATTCCAAAACTATATGATCCAAGGCCGACTCTAAGCAAGAATTATTATATTTATCATTTATTCATTACAAGTTATTCGTAACCATACATACATCAGTTCTGATTTTGTCATGATCGATCAGATTACTCTAATTGATATAATTATTGCATCAACATTTTATTATCCTTAAAAGGTGTTAAGGGATATTTGTTTTAACCCTATAATAATTTTGATATGTTGTGATAAGTGGATAATGAAGATAGAAGATTATTTTAATTGTTTTGACTTTGACAATTATTAGAAACTATCAAATACTTTTCTATTTAACGGGGTATTTGATATGTGCAAGGGGTTTCTCATATATTATGATGCATTTTATGTTTTTTTTTTTTTTTTAATAGAGTTTTTTGATAATTTTTGGAAGTTTTTAATAGTTTCAAATAATTGTTTAGAGGAGTACGGACGAAATTAAACCTTTCTCCCACCTAAAAATTAGAGTAGAGAAATCAAAATTAAATAAAAAAATAAAAACCTCAATAAGAAAACTAACTTATCATACATTCATGACATAAGAAAATGGATCGAAATAATTGTATTTGGTTCTCTATTTCTATCCATATTCTCAATAATATTCCCTAAATATTGTTTGGCACATTATTTAAGAAATATTAGTCTATTTTTTAATTATTTTTAGATCCCTTAAATTTATTAATTTCATTAAATACACCCAGAAAAAAGTTTAAAGATTAACAAAAATACTCCCATCCACCCATACTTTTCAGATTCCGACAACCACCGCCGGTGGTAGCCAGAATCTATCACAACGGTCTATACCACCATCGGAAATGGTCGGTAATTCACCGATCTGGGTTTTTTCGACTAGATCTATTGTGGATCTGGCCCAAAAAAACTAAATCTAGCCGTCAACAACGACTAAAGAAATGGTCGTCAACGACGACCATATTTTTGGACTTTTACGGTCGTCGATGGCCAGATTTGGTGGTGGATTGGGTCGGAAAAGGCCATATCAACGCCTTACCCACCAGATCCGACCAGTCTATGGTGTAACATAATTTTCGATCAGATTCGGTGGTGGTGGCCGAAATCTGGCATTGGGGTAGTGGCGGTGTTTTTGTCATTTTACAAAATTTTATATATTAGGGTGTTTAGTTAAATTAGCAAACCTAAGGGGTTTTTTATAAACTTTTAAATTTTACCTCGTAATATTCTCTTATTCAACTATCCAATATTATTCCTAAAATCCTATCCAAAATAATAAAACAAACCAAAATAATAAAACAAACAGACCCATATGTTCAAGTAATTGGGGCCGAAATAGTAAATAAAATATATAGAAGTTATATTTACTAATGTTTAAAACAATGGTTGCCCCATTTACGATTCGGGTCAAACCGGCCCTCTCGCTAGCCCATAACTCTCTGTTCTGTTTTTTAAAATTTTAATGACGGGTGTTCGAACAAGTTGCCCTCAGTTAGTCTAATTATCGGGCCATTTAAAACCCTACAAACCTATTGTTACCAGGAAAGTCACAAATCCCTTAATAACTCTGTGTACTTTTTCGCGTCAATGGCAAAAATTCTTTTTCACAACTCAATTCTCAAACCCTTCTCATCGGGCCCTTTCTCCCTCAGGTATAACTTCTATCTCTCTCTCTAAAATTTTGTTGAAATTTGATGCATTTTCATTTTACTGTTTTTACGATTTCTTTTAGCTTCTGAAGGTCAGAGTTGAGTGTGTTTCACTGTCCATTTACCACTCCAATGCGTTCATTTTGTGGAAAAATTTGTGGGTTTTAATTTTTAGAGGTTGTTGTTTATCACACATTAGCTTTTTTAAGTTAATTTTATTCGTCTACCAGGTCATTTTGCTAGCTAAAGATCCAATTTTGAGTTCAAATACTATGTTAATTTTACTATATCTTTCTACTTCTTAAAACCCCTTTACTCCAGGTACTCATTTCTCCTTAAAGTTTGTATTTTTTTTAATATTTTTTGGCATGCACTCTAATACATTAAATCCAGTTTAAAAATAAAACAGTGATAATCAAACAACATAATCAATATTTATTAAATTTTAATTCCATCAAATAAAAAATTTTAAATATAAAAAAACTTACTTGAAATCAAGTTGATTTATCAAGACGACACTGGTTCGATGATCGAAATTTAGGTTTCGAAGAGAGAGAGAGAGAGAGGGGGGCGGGGAGATGAGGTGAGGGTTCAGGGCAAATAATTATAGGGACGCGGGGTAGGGGTGACATGGAAAGATGTGATTGGTCCATGTAACAGTAAAAGTCAACTTTTCTGTTGAGCTAATGGATTGATTCCACGTGGCGAATGCAGGTTAAATCACGACTTTATGATGGAGTCGCGTTGCGTTACTTTAAAAGGGCACGAGAAGAATGCGTGGCGTAGCATGAGAGGGCCCCACGTGGCGGGTCCCGCAGTGAAGAGATTTCATGTTTTCTTTTTTCTTCTTTCGCTTAAAACGAATCGTTTTGGGGTTTGTGTTTTTGTTGGTTTTATATCACAAAAGAGGAAGTTTAAAATGTCGGAATGGAGCAAGTTGATTTGATTTGACTTTTGAGATTCCCAAAAGATTGTCAAAAGGTTGCGTCCATCTAGTGATGGCAATGGGTCGGATCGGGATCAGGTATCCCTTGGTTCATGCTCAAGTCTAGGCCATGCCCATCATGGGTATGACAAATAAAGTTTAAGCTCAGTTTGATGGGTTTTTTGTAATTTCGGACTCGGCTCAAATCCGCTCATTTTTATAATATAAATATTTAAATATTAATAAATTTCAAATTTTTTTATATTTTTAATTCTATAAACAATTTTTAAATATTAATTTATTTTTTAATACTC